TGCGAGTATAAACCACCTTCACCTGTCAAAAGATTCACTCGTTTCTGCCCAGGAGGGTGAACTTTGCAACTCCAGCCAACAGGCGATTGGTCATCCAGCGACAGTGAAGTGATCCAAACTTTGGAAAGCCTAATGCCGAGCAAAGATACACGCAAAAAGAAAAAAAGGAGTAGAGCCTCGGATGTTACTAGCCTATATCGGTTCAAGGTAATCATCCGACGAGTCACAGCTGGGACTTGTATGATGTTATTTACTCGAACGGTGCATGCACAAAGGAAACATTCAGTGCTCTCAGCATCGCCCTCTGGCGATCAGTAGGGATGAAATAGAACTTTAAAACTTCTAACAGGCAGCCATTTCTTTGTCCATGTTAGTTATTTTATATGTCCTCTTTTTTTTTAGGAAACGAAGTTTTATTCTCACTGGAAACAGCCTCAGATTACGTGAAAGATGAGAAGGCTTGCTTCTACGGCTTTAAGTGTGTGGCTATCGGATATGAGTTTAATCCTGGTCCTGATGAGGTATGGAAACTTTCTAGAGCTGATATTGTTTTAGAAAGAAGAATTTTTTTCACCTTTTTTTTTTAAACTTTTTTGGCATTATATTTTATGAATACTTAATGTCATTCATAAGACATGTAAAAACAAAACATAAATTCAACACTGCAGCACTATTTCATGTGTAGATATTCTCTGTATGTTCCATGTAAATGAGACAAATATGCTTGGTCTATTGCACTTCTTTTTTAACATAGTCTTTTCTTTTATTTACAGTTTCACAAGGTTAGTAGTTTAGATTATTTCAATAGGAAATGTTTTCAGATTCATCTACATTGTGCTCAAACCATGTAAACAAACAGGTCCCATATATATGTCTTGATATAGTGTTTTCCTCATGGCTGTAATGCACTGTTTCTTGTTATCTGTCAAAGATAGAAATTAACTCTGACCAAATGCTTCTGATATTTCAGGGTATCATCCAATTAGAAAAAGAGCTGGCGTTCCTTGGCAGTGTGTGCGCTGCAGCTCTGATGAAGAAAGATTTGGCCCTTCCTATAGGTATGACAAACATCCAAGAAAGAAGTTTGCTGCATCTATTTTGTATCTCCTTTTATGATGCCATAATATATTGCTTTTTATATTTTCAAGGTGAAAATAATGAACGTTTTGTGCCTTTTTTTGTTATTATTTTAGGCAATGAATTGGAGGAAGATCTAGAGATCCTCGAGGAAGCCTCTCTTCAGGTATGTTATCTTTTAAATTCTTTTGGATGAGAAAAATAATAAGGTATTCATCTTTCAGGGTTTCCTAATTGTGCTCTCTCAGGTGTGTAAAGCCCACTCTGGGATCCTGGGGAAGGGTCTGGCTCTGTCTCACTCTCCCACCATCCTCGAGGCCCTGGAGGGGAATTTGCCGCTGCACCTTCAAACCAACGAGCATTCTTTTCTGGAGGACTTCATCACCTGTGTACCGAACTCAAGTGGAGGGCGTTTGGCCAGGTATCTGTGCTTCGATTCAGGAACTAATACAATTTTAACAACCTTTACTTTTTACAAATGTATGCATTCGAACAAAATAAAACATGTAGATTATGTAAAAAGCTGAAGGCTTATTTCCTAACATCACTACTGTGGATTAAATGTTAACTCTTCATTTTTTATTCTTTGTTTGCACCGTTCAGATGGCTACAGCCTGACTCCTACGCAGATCCTCAGAAGACGTCTCTGATCCTGAACAAAGATGACATACGCTGCGGATGGCCAACCACTGTGGTTGTTCAGACTAAAGACCAGTATGGTGATGTGGTGCACGTTCCTAACATGAAGGTAATGAAGATCACACCTGTTTTGCTGCTTCCAGGAGTCATTTTGTAGTAATTCTTCTGGTGTTTCTGACTATTCCGTTTCTATTATCTTCTTCCTCTTTAGGTGGAGGTGAAGGCAGTACCTGTTTCTCAGAAAAAATCAGTTCAGCCAGACAACATGAAGAAGCTGCAGAGGCTGCCAGGAAGCTCTTCACCTTCTTCTTCCGGCCCTGACCTAACCTTCGGAGGTCTGCCGGTTCCAAAACTGGAGGCCACGTATGAGCCTGTGATCGTGAAAGAAGCACGATACATTGCCATCACAATGATGAAGGTCAGCCATGAGTTGCTGGCATGTTTTTTTAACTTAAAAAGTAGTTTTGCAGATTTGATAAATAAATGTTATTGAGAAAACCATGTGAACGGTTGATGCTAGTTGTAAGACTGTATCAGATTTCTACAGATGTGTTTTTTTGCTTTCATCCTGTGTCTTTTTCAGGCGTATGAAAGCTATTCTTTTGAAGAGCTGCGCTTCGCTTCCCCCACCCCGAAGAGGTAAGTTCACACAGAAACACATCATATATTCCGCCAAGGAACAGTTTGATTGATTCTTCTCTATACAGACCCAGTGAAAATATGCTCATCCGTGCCAACACTGATGGAACGTACAGCGCTAACTGGACTCCAGGAGCAGTCGGCCTCTATACAATTCACGTCACCATCGATGGCATCGAAATAGGTAGGTTTTCTCAGCATATAATGTGTATTTTGCTATGAATGTTTAGTGTTTCTAAACTTGAAGGATGTTTTTTACAAGCAGGTTTAAATCTTTTTTTTTTTTTTGAAGATGCTGGTTTGGAGGTAGAAGTCAAAGACCCTCCAAAAGGTATGATACCACCTGGAACTCATATGGTCAAACCAAAGACTGAACCTCAGCCTAGCAAGGTAAGTTATGGACCACTGAGCAGCATTTTTCTTTCTTTTTTTTTTGTTATTGTGTTGTTACATACCAAACATCACTGGACCACAAGACGCCATATATATAAAACCTAAATAAGCCAACTTTTTACAAGATGGAGGAAGTAAGGGATAAATTCCCCATTTGATGAAGAGGATGAGTTTGGTGTCATGTTGCTAATACGTTCTAGTTGTATCAAAATGCAAACTTGTATAAATTTTTTCTTGTGCACAGTTTATAAGATGAACGTGCTCACGGAGGAATAGTGAGCAATATATATATAAAATGTATCAATGTTTTCAGAACAAAAACAGATGAAAGGACCATTTAGTGTCAGAGAACCAGTTTAAATGAGAACCCTTGCAAACAGTTGGATCATTGAGGCGACCACATTACAGAATGTGTTCGACTCATAAACAACATAGCAATGACAAATGGTTGGCCTGCTTTAAAAGGAGTTATGACAAAATAAATCTTATTAAAAAATAGGGGTGTCCCGATCCGATATTGATATCGGATATCKGTCCGATATCAGCCAAAAAATGAGTATCGGATTTTATCGGCCTGCATAAAAAATGTCCGATATAAGTGCTCCGATATAAGCAGTTCAATCCAGCAGTTCACTGACTCCRCTCCAGTGTTTCTATCCAGCAGCGCTTGGATCCAGCATGCAGAGCTCACATGATCACAACAACATGCTGCGCTAACAAGTTAGCAAGAATGTCAGCAGAACTTTCTGTTTTCATCAGAAACAGAGTTGAAGCTAAGTGCAAAGTTGTCACGCACAAGTTTTCCGAGGGCGAACAGAACTGTGAACGTTTTTAAACCGTAGCGACAACTACTCTCCACCCTGGCAGCAGCTTTGTGGTTCGGCTCGGTTCGTTCAGCTTCGGTCCAGTGACCGCACACAGCCGAGCAGTTTCAGAACCTCCTCTCTGGTCCAGTCGGTGGTTCTAAGCTGGCAGAAGCGAGGACAGCACGCTTACAGGTTTGACATCCCGTGGATTAGCTCTGGGTCGATGGACAGAAGAAAGGAGAGCGCAGCTTTTGTTTTGAAATATAAGCACAACATGACGAGAGCTGTGATAAAAACTGCTCCCTGCAGGAGAGAGAGGCTGATCTCCATGTGATGCTCAGAAAATGCAGCAGTAAGAAAGGTAGCTCTCAATTTAAATAACTGACTAATTCTTACTATTTATTTTTTGCTCTTGTTATTAGAGTGATGTTTAATCTGTTTACACACTTGTTTGAGTGAAGATTAAGTGCAATGATCACGTTGTTTAAGTTACAGTCAGTAAAATTGGAGCTGTGGACTCTTTGAACAGATGTGGGGTTTTGTTTTGTCCCCACCTTCAGTTTTTTCCACCATAAAGCAGCACCAGGCTGACAGGTAGTAAAACAATAACCGAAGTGATTTTGAATTGTTATTTTATACTTTAAAATAACATTTTGTTTTTATTGTTTTATTTTTAGGGTACTATAATTTATTTTATTAAATTGTAGAATGTTCTTCAGTTTAAAATGTATGTGATCCATTGGTTAAAAATAAATGGGTCAATTTTTCTCATACCTACTCTKTTTCACTGTTTGACCTGATCAACACTTTTCTAAGATTTTACATTACAAAATAGGTAAAAGTGTGTGACTTGTACCGTTATGGTAACGGGTCAATATTGGTATCGGGCAATTCTCAAAGTTGTAATATCGGTATCATATCGGAAGTGAAAAAGTGGTATCGGGACATCCCTATTAAAAAATACTGAATTGCTGTCAGCCAATTTGGATTCATCATCATTTTCTGAAAAGTATTTTTCTGTAGTTACGCCATTTTTTTGGGGAAACAAGCAACAATGTATGTCGTCGATCAATCTTTTCCTTTCTGCTTTGGATCTTGTGTTCCCTGACTTTTCATGCTTCAGTCTACAAGTTGACAGAAAAAAGGCAAGAATAAAAAAAAGATTTATCCAACTTGTGCTACTGAAAATGAAGCTCTTCATGTTTCTTCCTCCTTTGCTGAGACTGTTTACCTGGCAGCAGGCTCTGTGTGGAATAACGCATGCAACCACCATCAATGTCCTGTTTTGTCTTTTCTTTCCTTCAGATGCACTATCTTTTTTTTTTCATTTTCTTCTTCGCTCTTACACCTCATGGTCTCTGTCTCCTTTTCTGCTTCTATCAGGTCCGCAAATTTGTGTCCAAGGACAGCGCAGGCCTACGTGTGCGTAGTCACCCCTCCTTGCAGAGTGAACAGATAGGCATAGTGCATGTCAATGGCACCATCACTTTCACTGAAGAGGTAATTGACTGAAGACCGGACAGATGATAAATATACRATCTGAAGCGTTTTGATCCACTTTTGCTTTGTTTGTGTTTCATTTTCTTTGCATCTGTGAAGTTAAAAAGAAATGTTACAAACATTGTCCAGATCAGTGGTTCCCAACCTGGGGGCGGGGGGATGAGGAGGGCTCTGAGGCTGTAAAGACAGAAAAGTTTTGCTTGTGAAAATACTAATACCACTAAATTGATTATAAAAAGTAGAAAGGGTAGAAATTTAATGACTTTAAACACAGCTGTTACACAGAACTGCTATTTATATGTGGTTTTATGGAATTAACTTAATAATAATAATAATTATATATATTTWCAATTATTAAAAAACAGTTGATACATTTTATTTCATCAAAGTGAACATACTAACGTGACTATTAGGTTTGGTCACTCGGGTAAGGAAGGTGAACAGGATTTGATGCAGTCCAAATGATTCAAAGTATGTCTTAAAGTTCCCTATTTATTTGAGGTTTTAAAAATATGATTTCTATAGTTGATATTAGGCGTATTGATAATAAATGTTACATGTAGTTGTTGTAAAGAACAAAGCAAGTAGCTATGTTGTGCAATAAAATCCATGCAGTCACTTTTCAACCCAAACATTATAAGACCTCTCGCATCAGCTGTGGCTCCTTCTATATTATGTCTATTGTGCCCCATTCTGTCAATTATGGTGTAACCAGATTACAAGCATAAATGGCTCTTACACTTGAGGTGGGAGGAACTCATTTTTCAATAAGATGAATCTAAGTGGAACAAAACTGGGATAAAAGTTTTGGATTGACAGAAAGAGTTACTGGACTTGGACTGACCAAACCTTAAAGGTTGGTTTATACTTTAAGTCGGACGTCATGTTCCCCCTGCTGAGTGACAAATTGCGTAACTTCCGTCTGTTATGTCCCGGTGACAGCCGTCGTGTGCATTGCCCCCAGTCAAAACTCTGTCCTGCAGACCTTACAGCTCACAGTGTGTGATTGGTCAGAACTTTGTGGGCGTGTTCATGCAGAGCAGGAGTGATACTTTGAGCAGCGCATTTTTTTGGTCTTTATTTAGCAGAAAATTATCCATTCCCACAGACAATTTGTTAAATTGGTAAGATGGACAGCTTTGATGAGCAGATGGTCTGATCCTATTGACCATGTGAACGTGCAATCGAAGCTCACTTCTTTCCAGCTCCATCAACAAAAAGAACAAAATAAAAAGAAAAATTTTCCTCCTCCGACTCATAATGCAACTCAACACTGATTTATTGTTGAGTCAAAAAATAATTTATCCTCAAAATAATATATTGTTTAAATGCTTAGCCATGAGCTGTGCTACACTGGGAGTGCTACATCAGAGCAGAGGGAAAATTACAATAATTTTAACCCCCCTGCCGCGTCTTCAGCCCGTTTACGTTTACGTCCGAAATGATGCAATAACTGATCCGCTGTCTTGTCGTATTGAAGTATRAACCAAGCTTTAAGTTTGAATTTGCATACATTCTAGAGTCTTTAATTCCAATACATAAAATCGTTTATAACCAGCTGCTACAAACATTTAGATTTTTCTTTGACTTTTCATCCCTAAACACAGATGTTAGGACAGTTATGTTGGGAACCACTGGAACAGATTACAAGCTTATCGTCATTTTTGAAGTTTTATGTGATCATTTATTAATACCGCTATAAATTTTCATCTATCACTTCATATGGCTTCAAACCCTTTTGCAAAACAATCTGAGGCTGCAGAAAGGCTTTCACGCAAACTCTAAGGAAGTGGAGTATTTAAATTCAAATTGTACGAATTGTAATAAAAACATTTAATATTTACAAGTGTACAGAATATATGCACAATAAAGTACTAGTGACAGTATGTACACATTTTAACCTTACTTGCATTGTGCAATTTTCATATTCATTATAACAGGTTTCCTGCAGCCTTAGATGTGTCAATATATTTGAGGGTTGCTCTCCCTTTGTTTCCTCTGTTACAAGCCGGCGTCCCTGAGCTCTACTCTGTTGCTCGTTTTCCCTTAGATCCACAATGATGATGGTGTATGGCTCAGGCTCAATGATGAAACAGTAAAGAAGTATGTTCCCAACATGAACGGTTACACAGAAGCCTGGTGCCTCTCTTTTAATCAGCACCTTGGCAGGAACCTACTGGTCCCCGCAGACGTAAGTAGAAGGTGACCCGCTGAGCAGTTTGACGCAATCTGATAACAATAGGCTCCTTCGCTGTTTATCAAAGCAGCTCATCTGTGTTGTGTCATTTATTGGGTTTTTAAACACTTAACGTTGTGTCTGGCACTCACTCCACAAATGACCTTGTAGCATGGTAAAAATCATCTGATCATGATGTAAATGTTGGGGTGTTCTCTTGCATGAAATCTCTATTTGAGCAGTGCTGAGTGTGAAACTTCTACTAACACACGGGAACAGCTGCTGAAAGTGTGCATGTATTAACTCATGTCTGAAGGCAATAAGTTTCCCGTAACACGTCCTATCTTATGTGTAGCTGCACACTTATGTAGTGAGAACACTGTTAGTTTGGTGCGTTAAAGTGAACCCCAATGCAGGGATTGTCTGATGAGATCCTGGGTTGCAACATAAAATGAATGTTACATTCTATTTCAATGGTGGTTATTTTTTTGTCATGAAGCAATCAAAAAGATTTGGTCAAACATTTTCCCTCTACTGCGCTACAGTTCTAGCTCTGCATTGGGATGCTTTTTGGTGCTCAGAGGTTTTCCATATAAGGTCTGTCTGAACAGCATGACACTCCACATCATCCAAGTGGGACATTTTTTTGGAAGTTCGATATTTATTTCTATAATCGTTCCTTTTTGGTTTTGGGTTTGGAAAAAAAGTGACTCCAGTGTGTTTTGGAGCGAACTTCTTTTTGTTCACTCGTTAAATGTTCGACTGTTTCACCACGTCCAAGCAGCCATTTTTGGGCCCTTTTTAATCCGAGCTCCACAACAATCTTGCTTATCCGACGCCAGCGCTCTTTTTGTAATTTTGTCAAAAACTCTCTTCTTGAAATCCAGAAGAGTCCAGCCTTTTTTTTCTTCCAAAAAAATACATAGCATAAGCCCTCACCTTTTCCCACTTTCTCCTCTTCCCTAATTTATGTGTTGTTTCATGACTCTCTCACAGTTTGCTCAGAATGTCTTTAATGCTAGCCAAGGAGTCAGGGATATCGCCTTTTTGTCATGGACCCCATTAACTATATTCCCACCACAGGTGAGTTGGTTGAACAAGGGATGAATAGTTTGACTGCCCCACAGCTAACCATCTGTCTGTTAAACTACCTGTTGCCTTGAAACCCCTTTGTGACTTTGAGATTTTCCCACAATGTTAGTTTCAGTTGTAAAAAGTCAGTCTGTAGTTGCATGGTTGTCTGTAAATTCAGGTACGTCAGTCAGTACTGCCTCTATAGACCTCTGCAATGATCACATTCAGGATTTTATGTACTTACTCCTTAGGCTTGTTTGTTGCATGAGTTTCAAATACTGATGTCCACTTTGTTGCATGAGGTCTTGTTTTGAAAGGTTTTTACATTTAGCTTTGTATCGGTATAAGCCAGATAGCATGCCTCTCTTTATATGGTGTAAAACTTATTGTGTGGTCTGTTTGGTTTGAGAAGACACATTTTCATTTGTTTCATAACCTAATCATTATTTATGTTTAATGTATTGTTCATTTTTATATTGTGTGTGCAGTATATATGCTTATTAAAAACGTGAACAAAAAAAAGTATATTTTTGTTGCTGAGGAGGAAAAGACTTATTTATTTTAGCGGCTAAAAAAATACTTGGTTTACTGAGTGCACAGATTATACTGTATTTTCTCAATAGATAAATGAGACATTTTCTCTATTACCAAACTCTTTAAAACTGTAAACTACTGCTTCTAGACCTTAAAGAAAGACTTCCAATTTTTTGAAGTTGGGTTTTGTGTTATAGCTATAAGCAATTGGTATCAAACCTTCTGTAAATAACTCTTTGAACAACCCAAGTGCGGTGAAATTGAATCAATTTTGACAAACTTTTAGATTGCTGTCAGTTTTGCATTGCGTAGTTCATCTGGCAGAAACATTATATTCCTGTTGCAAATGTTTTCAGTTTGACTGGAAGTGCTACTGCTAATTGCTACAGTTAGCACCAGGGCTGTAAGAAAATATTGATACATTGGAATATTGCAATATTTCATGTCCTGATACTGTATCAATGTTGTAAGAAGAAACGTGAAAAAAAGTAGTTCTCAATATTCAGTGTTCTTCTGATTGCATAAATAAACAGAATTTGATYAGATTTTATGCATGTAATGCATTGTGTGCTCTTTATACAGAGTTATTTAAAATTAGAATCCTTTGGGGGGGGAAACGGCAATACATGTATATCATCTTGCTTACAGTATCCCAATATTGCGCAACATACTGTATATTGTGAGCCCTGTGTTGTGATATGTATCATATCACAAAATTCTCACCAATACACAGCCCTAAATAGCACTTGTAAATAATCATAGAATTTTTTGTAAATATTAGTGCAATACAAAATTAACAACTGTGTAAAAGTTTTTAAATTTGTGTTTGTGTGAATTGCTATACATTTTTTTCGATTTGAGTAAAAAGTCACCTGGACTAGCTGTTAGCCTCAGTCATTTCTGTCTGAAATAACCTCTGATTTTCCAAACTGAGAATTTTCTGCAAAGATATTACTCGTTCCTAAAATTTCCACAGAATCCACTTCAAATGAACCGTTGCTTTAAAGAGCACATACTGGCAACCACTCACCAAACTGCGAACATTAGCTTCTGTGAACAATCCTTAGTTGATACATGTTGTGTTAGTTTAGTTTATTCCTTAGTTGTGCCAGTGTTTTGTGGAGTCTTTAAGATTTTTGGACAGTTTGTTTTTAATGTAACCTGAGTCTAATTTGTGCCTTTGACTCTTGCAGGAGGTCAGGGGCCAGGCAGAGGAGAATGTAAAGGAGGTGAGCAGCTGCCCTTCCCACGAGGCTCCTGTTGGGGTGCAGAACAGGGCAGGGCAGGCCGGCGGCCCGGGCCTTTATAAGGTAGTGAAGACCGGCCCCTCTGGTCACAACATCAGAAGCTGCCCAAACCTTAGGGGTATCCCCATTGGAATGTTAGTACTTGGCAACAAGGTCAAGGCCATAGGCGAGGTACGCACTCCCCGCAAATAATGCAATGTTTTTGGGGCTGGGGCTAATTAATTCAGTCTGTTTAGATCGCATAACAAATTGTAAATAAATTTGAGTGGCCCTAAACTCTTATTTCACTTTTTAAGTCTGCATCAGCTGCTTCAGGGCGTGGGTTGTTTTCTCTGCCTTTCCACTTTTTGAGGTTTTGGAAACTTTTGTGGCTGCACCACTTTTGCCCAGTTTGCTATTTCCACTTTGTGTAAAACAAAATGTGTTGCAGTTTTATGTCCTCACATTCAGCTGCATCCAGGCTTCTTAGTAAAATCTGGTTACAAAGTGTCCAAGCCTTTCTGTGCCTTAACTCTATCTTTCTTGCACTTTGTACGTACTCAGTCTGTCATTTTATTTGAACATCTTGGCTGTCTTTTGCTCTGTTGATGTGGAGCCTCCTCTCTTTTGGTTTTGACCTGTCATTGGTTGCTGTGGTTTGTCATGCTGTTCAGTCAATTCCTGAGCCTGCGGTGAATTGTCCTCTGTGGTTCTGGGACGTGCAACCTGCACTTACTAATACTTCCATCTGTGTCTGTTTTTCCACAATAAAAATATTCCAGGGAGTTGAGAAAACACATCATGCATTTACCTTTCAATAAACACCCCTTTCTTAGAGTAAGTTTTGTATTTTTTGTTTGGCTACCTACAGTTTTATCCAGCTGTAACTGCTGTTAAAATCAGTTTCATGTAATCAGCGGCTGTTTGCAAATGATGTCATCAGATGAGTTGAATGCTTGCATGTCACTGATCTTTTGTAGCGGGTCTTAGTGTTGTATGTGCTGTGACAAACTGAATGTTGAATGGGTTGATATGGAAATGAATGGGTATGATTCTGACGGTGTGTGTGAGAGAGAGAGAGTATGGATAAATAGCGATGTTTGTGTATCAGGTGGTCAACTCAGAGGGAACTTGGGTTCAGCTGGATAAGAACAGTGTTGTGGAGTTTTGTGAGAGCGATGAAGGAGAAGCCTGGTCTTTATCTCGAGACCGTGGTGGAAACCAGTACCTTCGCCACGATGATGGTAAGTTCAGCATCATCTCACCACCCAAGGTTATTAGATTTCTGAAAGAATCATTCTAAGATAAAACAATCAAATTCGCAGAACAAGCATTGTTAGACCTTGGKAATCAGACTCCACCACCCAGCCCGTTTTCTGTTCAAGCCTTCGGCAGAGCCACAACCTCAAATGGAGCACAGGGCTTTGACTACGGCATCTCCAACAACAAAGGTGAGCTCAGCTTGGTCTATGTTTTATTAAATAAGTGAAAACTCTGTGAACTTGCATTAGCTGTAGGCCATTTTATCTGGTGTTTATATAGCTTAGTTGATAATTTTCTCTTTTTTTTTTTACATTAAATCAGTTCTCATGCTTTAAAAAAACGTTGAAATCATGTTTAACCATTTAAAGCTTACCTCACCTATATTTTCCTTTTGAGTTAATCATGCACATAAATACTTCTCCTTATCCACTTTAAGTTTTTTTCTATATTTAATAGTAAAAAAACCGTTAACATAAGACTTTTTATGCACATGTATAACAAAATTTAATATAATTCAGTCTATTGCAAAAGAATACACTTAAACAATATTTTTCACATTATAGAACATTTCTATAACATATGTGATATTAGTATATGTGACTGGTGCCACTATTTTTAAGTCAAATAACTTAAAAAATGTATGCATGCCTTTTAGTGTGTCTGCTGTAGCTGTTTCATGCCTTACATCTCTGTGGTGTCAGGCATATGTCTGCAAGCATGGGCTTTGCAGTTTTGTGCAAAAATCTGGCTCCGAGCAACTCTCTCACTCTTTACTCCATGTCYTTTTAATTATTCTTCTAGAAAACATTTCATTTTTTTCATCATTAGATTTCTTTAAACTGCTGTTGCACAATGATCAACATCTTGCTGAGCGCATCAGGTTTATAAAAGCATCAATGAGGGAGGGCAAAAGTGTGTTTGTGCCCTGCTCTGCCTAAAAATTCTGCAGATGCAAGAGTGTYGGATTTCTTGCGATTGGCTTTTCTCTCCCCCACATTTCTTAAAATAGGAAGACGAGCTCTAGGGATACTTGCCTAGATGCTAAATACAGACTCCTACAAAATTAGATTTGTGCACTTTCAGTGAAGAACCAGAAAAAAGATCATTTAACGTCTATAACCTTCACAGGCATAAAATATGTCACTAATGTAGTTCGTTCAGGTTGTTTTTACCTGATTAAATGTAAATCTGTAAGTCAGTTAATGGTGGCATTAAATGGTGCTGTTTATTGAAGCTGCTTTAAATCAACCAATAAGTTGCAGCTAAGTATAAAATCATGACAATTTGTGGCAGATCAGTGTGTTAAATATAGATTTTCAAMAAGTAAACCTGTATTAAAATTCTGTTTTTATAAAGCTGCGATATGTTTCCTAGCTGCACACCTAAACTGTGTGCTGCTAATTTTTTTTAGAAGTTTAATTTTAATTGTTTTTTGTTTTTAGTTTTAATACGGAATAAGTACAGCTGGCATCTTTTGAGTTTTACTGAAAGAATGTTTTCATTTACAAAGAGATTTTTCAATGAGGCTGGTATGCTCGTTTCCTGTTTCTATCAACAAACAGGACTTTGTGGACCCCAAAGGCCTATTTTAACTCCTCCTTGTGTTTTAGGAGATGACTGAATTGTTGGTAGGAAATTACAGAGAGATGCACCAATCACAGCTTTCCTTACTACGTCCAGTTTTAGCTGGTTCTGTTTCCTCTATAGTGACTTAAGTTAACAGCATTATACAGTACATGTTATTATATAGTGAAAACATAATATATATTATTATTATTATATATTATTATATATACATATAATTATTGTATAATCAATACTGTACAATGTGAAGTAGAATTTCAAATCTGGACAATCATAATAAAATGTTTACAATAAAAAACTTGTGTATTTTCTCCAAAAACGTAGTGGTCCAGATATTTTTTGCTTTCATTTTGTCTTTAAAAACTACAAATAATACCTTCCAGGTTATTTAGCAGGCATTTAGTAGAAAATGAAACTCACRTTTTTTTCTTACCTTAAAACATACATTCAGAATTGTTTTAAAATTAAACCTGTTTCAATAAACTACGCCAATCTCAAATATGAGAATGATCACATTGATTTACCTTTTTTACTCTAACATTTGCATTGCAAATTATAACTTGTGACTACTTAGCAGTTAAATTAATAATATTTTACATTTGTCAAACTGCTTGCAGAAAATAGGTCTCAGACAGTAAACAGGGTTAAATTACTGTTTGTTGTCTGTTTAAGTGGCATCTGGTACTTCAACAGAAACTGTAGTAGGTATGTTAATGGGCAGTAAAAGATATACCTAAAAAACCCTTTCTGATATTTCATAGAACTATGGTAACTTTGAGTCCTCACTCTGTGAAAAGATGTGTTTTTCTGGTCTGATTTAGCACTGAGCTTTGATGCGTTTACATACCAGAACAGGTAGCTTGTGGTAAAGATAAAGAGTCTGATTCTTGAGTTTCGGACTGACCAGGTCAAGCTGAAAATCATCCAGTTCTGGTGATCAACTGATTGATTGGTGCATCCCCCCGCCCACAAAATGAGCCAAATCACCTTCATCTCCCACCAGCTCCCTCAAACCACAGTATAAGCTGGAGTTTCTCCCCCCTCCTCTGTCTCCATGTTTACAGGTGACCGGTTAAGTGCCATACTGAATTCCATTCAGTCTGGGCCCTTCCTCTCAGCAGCTCCCTCTTCCTCTTCCTCCTCCTCCTCCATGTTTGAGCAAGCTGCCCAACCTCCTCCCTCCTCTTCCTCCTCCTCCTCTCTTGTCCACAGCCCATTTGTGTTTGGACAATCCCCCTCCCAAGTGTCTCAGCCACAACCACAGCTTCTGAGTAAGTCTGTCCTGCTTTCTGACAGCACTTGCTTGCACAGGTGTTGATCTTTTATTCCTCGCAAATTTTTTTGGTTTTAAGAACAATTTTAATTTGTTTATTTGAAGTCTTTTGTGTGGAGAACAATAATAAATGATGAATAATGGTGCAGTTCTTTAAGTTGATAAAATATCTTCAGTAAGATCACATGTTTAATATAGAAGTCTTGTTTCTAAAAGACGATGCAGCAGATTGTAGTATAGAAATACAACAACATGAGTTGTCACTTTTAAACCAGATTTTAAACTTGGAGCACATTTATTGGTGAAATGAATATATTTTGCTTGCATAACAGGCGGAGCCGCTTCATTTTCAGCTGCTTCAGTTTGCTCTGCTTGCACTTTTGTGTAGTACGTCTTTTATCCTTCTTGTTTTTCATTATTGCCTTAAATTCAAATGGCTTTATTTCTTGTCTTGTTTAATTTCCCATTTYAACCAGCCCAAAATTTACAAACAAAATTAAACTACAGTAGTAAATAAAACTTTATTTTTTATTAACTTTTTTATATAATAC